TGATGAGCAAAAGAAGTGGGCTAAGTCATTTTTGAGCACACCGTCCCAAGCCGCGAAGAATCTGCCTGACGACTATGCACGTGAACTTCGTAGGCAGGCACTCATGTTGAAGGAGAAGAAAGAGCGGGCGGAGAACCAGGAGAACAAAGCCTTGGAGGAGGCCGAGAAAACGGAATTAGAAAGTAAAAAAAGTGGGAAACGAGTTGCCCAGCTCGGGGAACAAAGTAAACAATCGATTGCCCCGCTTATAGTGAAAGCCGCCGGTCCGGATGACCCCGATATCATAGCAGCTGCGGCAGCACATGGATTGACTGTAACGAGTGCCAGAGAACAAGCGGCCAACTTAGGTATTACTCTTCGTGAACTGTTAGGCCTTGATGAGGCGCCAATGAAGGAGGTAGTAATTACATATGTGAAGAATGGGCCTCTCGTCGAGCCTGCGCAGGAACAGGATCTACCTCCACAAATGAAAGGTCTACTGAAATGGTACAAGGGTTACATAAAAAATAAAAACGCCAAAGAATATATTTATGCGGAAGTTAGATATGAGCATCACTTCAAACATTACTATGTACAAATTCATCTGAGTGAATTGTTCCAGCTTTTCAATCTGCGCGAGCTCGACAAATCCATCATCAGTTGCTACGTTCTGTAAGTGATTTATTTCTACCCCATCTCATTCATATTGCCTGCACTATATATATGTCCTAACTATATTGTTGTGTCCGCTATTATACATGCAGAATGAAGATTAAGGAATGCAGAGTAAGGAACATCCATCGGCCTATTTCGTTCATTTCCTAATATCAAGTAACTAATAACTCTCTTGTTCATTTAATTTTCTTTGCCTCGTAGGGTTTGGAGACGGTTCGTAGATACAAAGGTCGGTGAATTCAAAAAAGAGCTAGAATTCAAAAGGGCAAAGGCTAAGAATGGTGAGGATATTCAGCCAGCGGGGACCAATCTATGTGCATACTATGTCTGTGAGATGATCCGGAGATACACCTCTGAGCGGGTTCCGAGTGATACCAATGCTCAGAGGAATAACCTCCGGATGATGCTTAGTCCAGAAGCTCGCTTCCGACCACTTCAAGAGGAACTAGCTGGATGGTTCAGGAGGGAAGTCCTCCATCCTAAAGGAGAACACCATTACGAGGACGTAGAACTTTATATGCATTAAATTATGTATGGAAACTTGTTCAAAATTGTATATGGTCATCCGATGATATTGAATATATATTGTATATTCCTCTTGAATTCTTTTTGGTTCTAATTTCAAATTTGTTTGAAATTGTACATTCATATGCATGTATGTAGTACCGTAGAATATGTGAAACTTCTTCAAAATTAAAATAAAGCACAAAAGAAATAAAAACAATACATATTAAACAGAAAACAGGTTTAAGGGGGGGGGCTAAAACCCTAAACCTGCGGCGGCCTTTAGTCGCGGTTGGCCAGAAGAACCGCGACTAAAGGTCCTCCGCCCCGACGGCCACCTGGCGCCCACGTGGACGGGCCTTTAGTCGCGGTTCTTAAGCAACCGCGACTAAAGGGTGGGGCCTTTAGTCGCGCCCGTTCGGTCGCGGTTGCGCAACCGCGACTAATGGCAGTTGCGAACCGCGACCAAAGGCCCTTTTTCCACCAGTGTGCCAAGCCGATTTGCGGCCTTGGTCTTTGGGGCCTCTCAGAGGTGCAGCTCCCTAGCGTGCATGTCCTGTCCCTACACCTATCTCCTGTCCAGGTATATATGTCCCATATCCTTCTTGTTCAATTAAACACAATTTTCGGTGAAACTGAACTTATCCAGGATGTCTTGCCGAACTGTTTGTTGTTGCAGGATTCAGTTATCTTTCCAAATGCAGAGCTCAGCTTCGGGGCAGAGATCGATAAACATATGGTTACCAACTTCTCTGGTCTGGACCTGCATCTCAGCACCAAGGGCCATGTGTTTGGAGCTTTTGTGCTTCATCTCCTTGGGATGCATCGTATTCGTACAGCTTTACGGAACCTTAAGATTGTCCTGCTAAGATCAGAGGTAATTTATCGTACGTTGTGCTTATGCATTTGGAATGTATATATGCAGTACATGTTCAGCCAATAGGTTCGAGGTACATTCTTGAACTAATGTCCCAACAGTGGAACGTCCATAATTTCTTTCTGTAATTCACATTCGTTTAGGTGAAAGATGCATGCCCAGTAAATTGTTTCTGTGATGAGCCAAAGAACTGGAGAACAGAAACTATCACCTTGGCTGATCTTGAAAACATGGAAATTGAAGGCCTCGGCGGGGAAGATCACGAGTTTGACTTCTTGGAAGTGATATTTAGATGTGCTCCAATGCTTAAAACAGTGACTGTAAGGTTGTCAGATGGTGTCACTCCAAGTGTCGATTGGTGCACAAAAGTAAACAACATCTTCATGGCATATCCTTCCGTCGAATGCAATGCTGATCTAGTAAGCAGGTATGATGCATGGTTAGCATACTCAATAGTTGCAAAAAGTTGTTTTATGGTCGTACTGTTTATCAGTCTAAACTCACCATTTAGCCCTGTACCTTTATTTTGATCTTAAAGTCAAGCAGAAATGTGTCAATGACATGGTAACATCTGTTCAAGTCTGACTTAGTTTTAGCCTGGGTCTGCCCTCTTTGCTGAAAAATCGACACTGTGATGGTCCGCATGGTTCAGCAATGTTCTTTGTTTTTTATGCTAGGTTCAGTTTCCCTTAAACGCAGGCCAAGGGCACTAAAACCCCTTTATTTTATATACAAGTCATCCATACCATCAACTTAGGTCTACACGATATACATCTCAGAAGCAAAACTGTTTTTCTTACCAGATGCTATATAATTTTTCTTATCAGATGCTATACTGTTTTTCTAGTCTACTGAAGTCTGGTTGTGCCTGCACTACTCCAATAGTTGGCTGAATATGCTCAGATTTTCTTCGTGAACCTTTTAGTCTATCCCATCTTCCTTAACGTTGTCACCCTGTTGCTTTGTGCATTTTTCTCTGTACTTACAAGTACAGACTTCATATCTGTATGTGACTGAAACTGGTCTTGTTTTACCTCCTCTCCTCTGCCTGCAGGGCCAAAGCTGTGTGTTGACATGATTATCTGCGGATTAAGGGTGCTCATTAACAAGATCGTCCTCTCCCACGCCGACCAACTACTATCTGCTTTCAGGAACTTGCTTAATGGCTTCAATCTATGCTACCTCCAGTTGTTTTGCCACTGTAGTGGAGCTACAGGCTCGAAGTGTGGTGCAGTCTCTGATGTAATTCCTAGCATGGTTTCTATTGCCTTCAAATGTGGTACTGAGTACTGACTCCTTTTGGTCGGCTGGTCTGAATATTAGATTTTTAAGTATCTCAAGTTCTCAACCAATGTTGTCCAAGTGATGCCATGTTAAATACTTACGCCAATGGCTTACATTGAAGAGCAGTGGCACGAGGCTTCTCTTGCTGGTCAAAACTAAGATGGACCTAATAATGTTTGTGCTTCTTCTTTTCTCCAGGATAGCATTATCTAGTGCCAGCGATTGCATGCCTCGATGGAGCTTCTGCAATATTTATGTTAAGCCACGTATATGTTCAACGTGCACCCTTTTCAAATACTTCCTCCGTCCGAAATTACTTGTCACGAAAATGGATGTATCTAGATGTATTTCTATCCATTTTTGCGAAAAGTAATTTCGGGCAAAGGGAGTATTACATTTGCCTCTCCTAGTATTCGTAGAGCAAGAGTTATTTTTACGGCACCTGGGATCAGGCAGTATTCGAATAACCCTTTGTAGGAGGATTCTTTTTCTTTATGCGCCCTATGTTGAACAAAACATAATAAAAAAATTTATTGAGCTCTCAATAAATTTCTAAAATGTTTGCAACTGATAGGGGTAATAACTATTGTACTGTTCAAGTTTGTTTAGAAGAGAAATGGTTTTTTTTCAAGCCTTTGCTGAAAAAGAAAGGAAAGGGTTGATATAGGACACTCCAGTCTACACTGATCTGAATTGGTTGTTTTTGCACATATAGCAAAAGAGCAATGAAATTTTGCAGTTTCACATGATATTGCAATAGTTGCACATGCTATTATATTTTCCAGCTTTTTTATTGCAATGGCAAAAAGATCCATTAATTATTATTTTTTTAGAAAAGGAGGATGACCCCCGGCCTCTGCATCTAGGCGATGCATATGGTCACTTTATTAATTATTCCCACAAGACCTTACAAAGTTATACAATAGTAAGACTAAAGCCGCCATCTAAGCAACAAACTGTCGCTACACCTATTCAGTTGATGAAGGGGCGAAGATAGCCTGAGCCTAATACCAAACAGACATCACAGCCAAGCCTAACATCTAAGACCTGAGACCCCAACCTAGCCTCTTGCCGGGTCTGGGGCACACACTGGTCCGGCGTGCTCTCAGAGGCCGCCGCCGCCAACTGCCACCGCTCCATCTTCAGAACTGTACTGATGCATCAACCTTGCTCGGTCTAGCTATAGTCGACGCCACCACGGCGCCCAACGGCACCTCCTCCCTACGCGCAAACAGCTGAGCACGTCGCGGTCGCCACTAATACACCTCAGCGCCATGCTGCCAGGTATCACCAGCCGACACAGCTTGAAGTCCTTGAAAGATCTATCATGCGTAGCACCTGCCGACCAGGCATAACAAAGCGTAGCACCTGTCGGTCAGGCATGACTTGACATCACGGAAGCTCCGTGCAAGACGAAGCCGCTCCACCTCCTGCCTCTGACTTCCAGCGCTGCTCCGCAAACGACGCTCTCAAGAGAGAAATGACACCGCAGTGCCGCCATCATCCGATTTGGAATACCCGATCCTAGGGTTTCCCCCGGAGCAGCACGAGTGGGTCGACAGTAGTTACACGATGATGCCTCCATCAAGGTAACGGTGCCGCCATCGCCTACCGTCGGCTCGGTTTTCACCGGCAACCATGTCTCCCTTACTCGCAGCCGGGACAAGATGATGGATCTCGAGATCCGATCACCAAGCCTCTGGCCGGCCATCTCTGGAAGAAGATGACCACCACGTCCACCAGCTTCACCACGCCAGGCACGCGTCGCCCCGGCAACCCCATGGTGCCTAGAGGCCGACAAGCCCCGACGAACACCACGCCTCGCCAGCCGCCATGGCCTAGACCCAAGCACCACCAGATCCAGATCGGATCGGGGTCAAGGGCCCCAAGCCGCAGCCGCCGCGGAGGCAGCACCACTGGACTGTGCCTAGCCCTCCACCCCGCCGTAGGATCGAGTCTTCGTCGGAGCTCCGCCGCGCCACGCCGCCAAGCCGCCGCCGGGATAACTCGCGCCGCCGCCAGAGAAGCCGCAGCCGCGGCGCGTCGAAGGGGCCCCAAGCCGCAGCTGCGCCGCCGCCAGGCAGGGGCGCCGCCACCCAGCACGCCCTCCGCTGTGCCACTGGGCCCCGCCCAGCCTAGCACCGCCTCGCGCCGCGCCAGACGCCAACCGCGAGGAGAGGGGCAAGATCCCCGCCGCCACCAACGCCGGCCGGACTTTTCCCGGCGGCGCTGTGCGGTGGCGGCGGGGGGAGAGATCGACAAGGGAGGACGAGGGGCGGCACGCTAGGGTTTCCCCAAGGACACTCGCGGGAGCGGCTGGGGGTCGTCCCTCGTCCATTAATTATTTGTAAGCTGCTGGTGTAAAATTTGTAAGCTGCTGGTATTAACAGTTAGTCCATGCACGATGAGTAGCAAATGGTTTAGACAGTTATTACTTCATGTGATCCAAAATAAGTGCCGTGATTTTAGTTCAAAGAGAGTAGTATTTACCCAAGCATATAATCGATCAACGAAGAAGACAACAAGTCGTCAAAGTATACAAAAGAGCGGGGTTCAAGATGAGATTCTACGTGTTCTCGAGGAACTGCTAGCTTTTCCATGTCCTCTCTCGACTGGATGTCCTTGCACCACAGCCACCTCTTCTGCTTGTGGTGCCACATACGGAGACACCTCATCGATTTCACCTTCTGCGATGTCGCACTTGGCTCGCTCCAAGTGGCGATTTGGGTCGCTCCTTGCCCCTACTTGGCATACATATGTATCCCAAAAAAAGACGCGTAACAAGAGTATAAGCTTAGAAACAAGATTCCATTATTGGCTCCACTCTCGTGCCCTCTCGACTTTATACCCCCGGTGCCGCTCCCGCAAGCGGCCCGGGCGGAAACCTAATCCCCGCCACCGCCACCCCCACCCCCTCCCCTCCCTCGTCGCCGCCAGCGGACGCCGCCTGGCAAAGCCCGTGCGCGCGTCGGCGGCGGCGGGGGTCCCTCCCTCCCTCGAGGCGCGCAGGCGGCGCGGGGACGCCCTGCCTCTTGGTGTCAGGTGTTTTGGCGGTGGTGCGCGTCTGGCCTGTGTAGGGTGATGAGGAACAGTAGATGAGGAACATGGAAATATAATCATATGTCAAATCTGTTTGGCTACTTCTAGATACTTCTGTTGTGGTCTAGTATTTCTTTTCTTTTCTTTATCCTACCTACTGTTTTCTAGAGTCTTCTAGTTGTGAGTAGCTATGAGTAGAATGGTGAACCTTAAATAATGTTTCTAGAGTATTCCAGCTATAAGTAGAAGTATGTGAAGGCTTTCCAAAGCCCTATAAATAGAGGTCCTCATCTCTACTTTGTACCCAGACTATATACCCCTACCTATAATAGAACTTGTTGTTCTTATCTAAGATCTTGGAGTAGATCTTGTGCCCTAGGAGTTTTGGATTGAACTCTTGCTGCCCTATCAGCCTACATTCGCCTCTAGAGCGATATCTAGCACAGTACGTTGAAGCTGTTCCTTCAACACTTGTGCTGTACACATTGTAGCAGCAAGGTGGAGTTGCTCCTCCACAACCTTTGTGCTGCTTCATAGGGCGCGGCCAGGCATGGTCCGGCCGGTCCTGGCGCACACGGCCGGCGGTGCTCGGAGGTGCTAGTGCTGCTTGGGGGTTGCGTGGCCTGGCGCGGGCCAGCGGGCTGCGAATCTGGCGCCCCACGGCTGGTGGCTCTCGCTGGTCGGTGGGCGGCTCGGGGCGGTGCTCTCCAGGTTGGACGACGGCGAGGCGCTACCCTCCGGGAGCTGGCGGAGCTGGGGCCGGTGGCTGGCTAGCGGCGTGTCGGTGGTGCTGGCTGGCGGTGCCCGGAGCGCAGATCCGGGGATCTTAGCCCGAATCTGGTGCATCTTCGGCGTTGGCCGGCGTCCTTGGGGTGCTCACGGCAGGGGGTGTGGCGGTTGTCTCCGGATCCTTACGTGGAGCGTAGCAGGATGGAGGGTGTAGGTGGTGCACCGACACTGGCGGTGGCGGCGGTGCGAGCGCAGCCATGGCGGTGACGGCGCTGCGAGGCCTTGCCAGGAAGGGTCTTGGCGGGCAGCGGGCGTTTAGTGGTTGTCGTGTGAGGCGGGCGGCGATGCCTCGGTGGTGTGGGTGCCAGAGTGTGGTCGGAGGTGCGGGTCAGATCCATTCTGGTGGCAGTCCCCTGGCGCGCGTGAAGGCCACCGTGGTGGATCTGGTTTTGCACCGCTTGGTGGTCGCTGCGGCTCCTAGTCGATGTTAAAGATGATGGCTTTAGGCGTGCTCCCTCGGAAGTGAGGGGGGCTTCGATGGCAAGTTGTTGCGGTGGCGGCGGTGCGAGGCATCTGATCGGGACTGGCCGGGATCTTGAAGACGTGGAGATGTGCAACGCTATGGATGAAAATCCTATTCGGTTGTGTCCGGACCGGTGCTGATGGACCTATGGGTGTCATTCACCTTCCTAGAGGCTTGGCCGAGTGCAACGCTATCTTCCTCGTGACCTCGTCTCGGCTGCTGTCTCCAGGGCAAAAGCCTTGATTCATAGGATCAGCATGATGACAACATCTTTGAGGTTGTGACTCCGTTGGGAGCATTGTGCTGGGAGACTCGAGGTCCCACGATGCGCTCCTCCGGTGTTCACTGCTGCCCGGATCTTTCTCCTCCGGCGCCATGTACGATCGTCACTGGCTAATCCAAGGAAGCTGGAGTTGCTGTTCTTCGGAGGTCTTCAGTGTCGGCTGAGATGCGGCGAGGGGCTCGGTGTTGGGTACGCATTTTGTGTCGTAGTCGTGT